CTGATGTGGAGCCCTCACAGGTCTCCTGCTCCTGATTTTGAGCAACAGTGAAACCCAGGGACAGGATTCTATCCCACCTTGGGGCTGGCATGTCTTCCCCAAGGCTCCTTCAAGCTGTGGCTCTTCTCCATTTCCACTCATACAAACTGATGTAGGCAATGGACATGGAGGTGTTGGAGAGAGTCCAGAGGAGGCCCCGGAGATGCTGGGAGGGCTGGAGCAGCTCTGCTCTGGAGCCAGGCTGGGAGAGTTGGGGTGTTCAGCCTGGAGAAGAGAAGGCTCCAGGGAGACCTTAGAGCACCTTCCAGTGCCTGAAGGGGCTCCAGGAAAGCTGGGGAGGGACTTGGGACAAGGGCAGGGAGGGATGGGATGAGGGGGATGGATTAAAACTGGAAGAGGAGAGATTGAGGTGAGACATGAGGAGAAAATTCTTTGGTGTGAGGGTGGTGAGACCCTGGCCCAGGTTACCCAGGGAAGCTGTGGGAATGTGATTTATAACATTCTGTGGTCTGTGGCTTGTTCCTGGGTTGTATCACCCATGGTCAGGCAGGCAGTGAGGTTCAGCCATCACAGCTGGAGCTCCTGCCTGCACCTACCTACACATCTTCATCGTGCTGGTGTGGTCCTCACCACCCCATGCCAATAAAAACCCCATCATCCTGCCCAAAACCAGAAGGATTTTCCCCCCAAAAAGAGGACAAAACTCAGCTCCCCTTTTCTCCAGTTGCATCCTCAGGTGATGAAACTCAGCCACGTGTCCACCATCCTGTCTCCAACTCCTATCTCCCAAGATCATTCTTCTCTAAGTGGGGCTTTTCATGGCAAGAAAGTCATGAAGGAGTTTCAAGCCTGCCCATAAATCCAACGTTTCAAGATGTCATCTGCAAAACACGTGTATTTTTGGTGCTCTCCACCCTTCTGCACCACCCCCCCAGCCTTATGTTTCTTTGAACAATGCTGTGATTTTCTCTCATGACATGGGATTTGTTTTGTTCTGTTTAACTCCATAACAACCTTCTCCTGCCTGTCTGTGTGTGTGCACTGGTGGCATTTGTCCCCCCTCAGATGCTATTTTTAGGCCCTGTTACTGTCACAGATCCCACCCTTGGCTTGGGGAGGGGAAGGAGAGGGAGGAAGGAAACCATCAACCTCAGCAGCCTGTGGCCATCCACGTCCCCGGGGGGCATGGGAGCCAGAAGGTCATTTCTCAGGCTCATTGAGCTCCAGAGCTGTCAAAACACTCTGTGAGTTAAAAGAAATATGCAAATGTATGCAAATGAGTGGGCTGCTTCTATTCCTCCCTCCCCCCCCCCAACATTTAAATGACATGAATCACCTTCAATGTTGCTGCCATCCTGGAAAGTTACTGGATTCTCCAGGGCTGCATCTTGAGAGGAGCAGGAGGGAGAAAGAAAGGAGAAGGATCCCATTCCCACCAAAAAGCAGCTGAATATCATTCTAGTTTATAATCATGTCCCTCCTGATCTCCTAATTCCTGATTTATTTTTATTGATTTTGAGTGAATAATCCACAAATTCTAGAGGATGGAGTTTAGTGTCCAGAAGGGTAATAGAATCCCAGAATCATTAAGGTTGGAGGGGACCTCAAAACCCATCAAGCTCCACCCCCCTGCCATGAGCAGGGAACCACCAGACCAGGCTGCACAAAACCTTATCCAACCTGGCCTTAAAAACCTCCAGGGATGGGGCATCAACAACTTCCCTGGGAAACCCATTCCAGTTCCAACAAACTTAATGAAAAAAATTGTCAGGGTAGTCAAACATTCTGGTTTCCTGATCTTTTGCCCTTGGGGTGATCTGGTGATTAAATCACATAATCACAGAATATTAGGGGGTGGAAGGGATGTCCAAAGATCATTGAGTCCAGCTCCCCTGCCAGAGCAGGACCAAAAAAACTAGGGCAGATCACTCAGAAAGGCATCCAGATGGGGCTGGAAAGTCTCCAGAGCAGGAGACTCCACAGCCTCTCTGGGCAGCCTGGCCCAGGGCTCTGTCACCCTCACAGCAAAGAAGTTTCTCCTCATCTTGAGGTGGAACTTCCTGGGTTTGAGTTTGACCAAAAGAAATTGGTAGGACAACCCGTCGCTTCATGTGAGGAGCTTCTTTACCAGGGGTGCTCCTTCCCAACAAAACACAAAGAGTAGGGGCTAAACACAGCAATAGAAATTTAATTGCTCACATTTGTTATGAAGCCCTAAAAAGGAAGTTGTCTTTTTCTCCCCAGCTTGGGGGGTTGTTGATGATCTGACGTTCCACCTGGGAAAAGCATCGGATTGATTTTCATTTATAGGTGATTGTCAAGGCGGGTTTGGGACGGAGCTGGTGGGGCTGGTAGAGGAGAGCAGCTGGTTAACACGGTTAAGCCCAGCATGCTGTAATGAATCAGTTTGTCTCAGACAACAGGGATAATTAGCATGGAGCTAATGAGCACACCAGGGGATGTGGGGCTGGAGCATCGTCCCTTGGCCAGAAGTGTCGGTGGCTGGAGCTGAGGGGTACTCAGAGAGGTGTCATTCCTGGTTCCTCTCCCCATCTTTGGGCAGGGGGAGGTGGCTGGAGAGGACTTCCAGTGGGCGGGCTGCTGCCTTCCAGCCCACCTTCAGTAGCTCTGGGATGACTTGCCCCCCATCCTGGAGTTGTTCCCACCAGGCCTTAGCCCTTCCTGGGGTGTTCTCCATCTAGGCTGCACCGTTTGGGATCCTACTCTGTGATCTTGGGAGGGTCATAGAAGAGAAGATCATTCTATTCTATGTTCTGTGGTTGGACGAGGTTTTGTGCAACCTGGTCTAGAGGGTAGAGTTCCCTGCTTATGGCAGGGGGCTTGGAACTTGATGATCTTTAAGGTCCCTTCCAACCTTCATGATTCCGTGATTCTTCCCAAGGTCTTTGCTCGCCGGCGAGTGTTCAGCAGTGCTGAGGAGGTGTGGGGGAGATATCTGCAAGGTCTCAGCTGGAGATTGACCTTGTGGAGGAAGGAGGAGGGAGATGACATTCCTCTTCCCACGGGAACGTTTGCTGCAGAGTCTGGTCCCCTCTGCAGCCCCCCAGCCTCCTCCAAGGGTCACAGGTTTGCTGACCAAGGCGAAGCAAGGATTTCCCTGGACAACCTCCATCAGACCAGGCTCTTTCCATCCCCACAGGATGGTGGCAGGGGGAGGGTGGGAGTCAGACCCATGCAGTGTGACAGACCAGGTCCCCACAGCTGGTGGGAAGGAGGTTTGGAGTCAGCACAGCCAGAAACTGAGCAGGGAGGGACACCCAGGATGTGGTGATGGA